AACTATGTCTCGAAGTTTAGACGAATGCCTTAAAGAATAAAGGGTGCCCATACCGTGGGATGGATTGGGCACCTTGGTGCGCCCGATGGACCACAAGATGCCCTTGTGGTCTAAAGATGTGCTTCTAGGTCGAGAAGGATGCGCTTGAGAGTCTGCGTGCCCAGCACCCTGGACAGCGCCGCCGGTGGTCAAAATGGTTCCCGTGATGTATGAAAACATGTCCTGAGGGTGAAAAAAACATACTTAAAAACAAGAGGGCGTCCAAAGCCCTAGAAAGGTTCTCCGTTAAAACTCCAACAGCACTCCTGACTTCTGAAGATATGTTGCAATGTGAGAAAGGACGCTTTAAAAAGAAAAGGACGTCCAAACAAAACGACATAAAATCTTGAGTGGCGGATCTGAGCGCTCAAAGGGTGTTCCTGGGTCCCGAAAATACTCCCAAGGTTTAAATCAATTTCCGGGCAAAATTCGAATGACTTCCCCTAATATCTCAAAAACGGCTCGTTCGGTTAGGAGCCCTCCCCCCTAACGTAACATGGTGCTCGAATTCTGGAGAGGCGCCCCCGGGATTGAAAGAGCGTCTCTGAGACTTGAAACCGTCGCATGGGCGTTAAAGAGGTTTTGAAGAATAAAAAGACACTCCAAGTGCCCATAGAGAGCCTTGGGTGACCTCATTGTTTTGAATGGGCGCCCATGGTGTTTGAAGAAAACGCACGCGCCACGTTCACGGCATTCATGTTTAAAATCATGCAAACACAAGACACACAAGTTGTAAGACGGAACATAACAGCTTCACAGGCGCCGGTACGACATAGAGCAACCTGTAACACCTAGTATGCGAAAGGTAATCGATTAGGTGTGTGTGGGGGGGGGGGGGAGGAGTGGATGATGAGGTGAGGTGAATAAATGAGGGTGATGTGCTGCCTGCACATCAGCTCCGTCGCGAACTACGTTCATGGAACTATTCGCTCTTTGTGTCACGCTCAGTCCCGCATCCCAATAGCTCAGTGTTAGAGGTTCCGTCCCACCACCGCAGTATCGCGTGCCTTGGGTCCAAAGATGACAGCTTAGGCATAACGTAATTCCAGAAAATGTCTGGCTACCTGACAGCCCAGGTGACACAGACCATCTCTCCATGTAGCCTTTGCACCTTAAAGTACAAAACAAATGATAACTGACAATTTTTTTTTTGAAGTTCGCCCGTTTACCATGCGTTGGTATTTACGCGCCCCTTAAGGATAATGGCATTCCCCTGTCACGGAAAGGCATCATCCATTGACGAACAACATTTTATACCATGCAACAGAATTGCACCGGAACAATAACAGTCCCTCTCAAAGCGATCCCACAAAAGGCGATCGGGACGGGGAGGGAGCAGGAGCTGGATTCGCCGCGCGGCAACGCAAGGCGAGCGATCCTGGTGGCTGTGCTAGCTCTTATCAAGTGATAAGCCTTCGAATCACTCGCACCACTATTAACAGCCTAAAAACCAGTCCATCCAAAGCATCTACTACCGTAGGCATCTCAATTCAGTCCACATCATTACAGGAATGTATTTAAAAATTGAGTGCCAACAAAACGTAAATGGCGTCGACGGCGATATGCTTAGATTGTATATCTATTACATAACTCGCAAAACTGGAGATCTCATCATAAAAAACAACACCATCAAAACACAGATGTTGTAGCGCACCAACGCAGTATACAACCTTCCTGGCAACAACGAAGATGCAGGTTCCGTTGCGTATCCTACATCGGTGTAATTACACCTTTCTCCCGACACCTCACAACGCACCTCACGGAGGTGACACCAAGAGATCACGTGTAAGGCGACCACGGTACTGGTCTCACGCGCCAAATGCTCACACAAATGACTGAAATTCTAGTGTCTTCATCCAACACAAGAAAGCTCAACATTCTGGAAGCATTGCTCATTTATGACCACAAGCTGGTAAGACACAAACGTATGAATCAAGCTTTTGAATATTTGCTTTGGAGAAACATTACTAATAAATTACACGAGCAATAAACCTGCGGCAGATCAAACTGTGTAAGGGTCTTACAGGTGTAGGGTCTTTGGTATGCACCTTTGTGATTTATCACATTGTTTGTGCAGGCCACAGTGTATGATGTTAATGATGGCTTCTGTGCGACTATAGTATTACGCTTCTTTTCCGCTTTGTTTTTTGCCAAGTGAAAACGGCAGTCAGTGTTATTCAATCAGAATCCAATTGTTTTTTGGGCTCGTGTTTCATACTCTCATTTCATATTTGTCAGCTGCCGACATGAAGCGAAAAGTCATCTGTTGCTTTTGAAAATGGATATAAGCTGCTTCTGGCCCGTTGACCCACAAATATAGGAACACATGGCACCCTTCTTTGGTAAACTAATTCCTAATCTAAAACCGATATCAAAAGCAACGTTCGAAAACCCGCAAGAACTAAACATGGCGACATTCAAGGCGAAGAGCGCTGTCCATTATAGTGGCCTGTGCATGAGAAGAACTACCTGGTGGAAATTATGAATATGTATATATATATATATATATATATATATATAATGTGTGTGTGTGTGTGTGTGTGCGTGTGTGTGTGTGTGTGTGTGTGTGTGTGTGTGTGTGTGTGTGGTGTGTGTGTGTGTGTGTGTGTGTGTGTGTGTGTGTGTGTGTGTGTGTGTGTGTGTGTGTGTGTGTGTGTGTGTGTGTGTGTGTGTGTGTGTGTGTGTGTGTGTGTGTGGTGTGTCCGCGTACGCGTAGGTATACGCGTGTGCAAGTACGTGTGCGTATGTGTGTGCGCGAGCGTACGCATATGCGTGTGAGTGTGTGTGCGTGTGTGCTTGTGTGTGTGCGCGCATAAGGTGGAGACACAATGAATTCCAAAATACTCTCGATGCACGCGATTACTGCTATTATATATAAATTCACTGCGTGCTCTTGTGACCATTAGCCAAATTATATGGTTGCATTTTAGCAATAAAATCAAGATTTCATCGACATCATCGTAACACCAACGCCTGACAGTACATTGCAGGCCGAGTAATGCCGGCACAGAACTATTATCTCCTAATAAACCTCATCGATACGATATATGCTTGACAGCACTGGCTTGCAAACGACCAGAACGGTCCCCAAGGAGATGTGAAGGGACCGTGATCAACGAAACAACCTTTGACTCATTGGTATGGTTGAGGTAGAAAAAGGGTCAGTTAGGCTCTTTATGGGCGCTACGGTGCTACTGGGGACCATGCATGTTGATTTTCCGGCACACTCTCAATCACTGACTGACCTTCCACATCGGCATGGTTCGTCCCATTTGCTCGGAGGGCGCTACGCTGTGGTCGGGGGTGCTATTTGTTACCCTGCTGGTGCACTCTCGGTCACTCAGGTGTCCTAAAGGATTTTTCCTATTCGCTCAAGAGTCCCGTACTGTTGCCACCTGTTGCCCTGTACGCTATGCTGCCGTGGCATTGGCATCTCGTGGTCCATTCGCAGCGGTTCTGGGTTCTTCCCATGTGCTCAGAAGTACAATTATGTGAACCGGCTGTGCCACCACCGATCGTTAAGGTGTCCTCCATGACGCTTTTGGGCTTTCCAAAGCTTGAAGCGCCCTAAGCTGTTTCCAGGGCTCTACCTGCTAACTTGGACCATACCAGTCCATTGTGTAGTCAAGCAAGGCGGTCACCATCCTTCTGCGCTGAAAAGGCTTATATTCGTACATACTTTTATACTAGTGTATGACATTATGTCTATTTCATATCTAGACCAAGCCTCTAGACTGGATGGATTTGGGGAAGCAGTGCTTACTGTGATACTTTGATGTTACCATTCGATCGTAAACTTACTGGTCAACGGCGAGATTCCGCGGCAAGACCTTAACGTGCCGCAACGCTCGATGCGGTCTGTTCTGCTCCCTTAAGTCACATGATCTTTGGTGCAGCCGCGGCACTGATCGCAAGTCATCCAAGTCAGGAGTAACATTCTGTGAAATGGACGACCTCTGGGAGGCTTTATGGTCCGCACTACCCTAAAACAACACGTCCCCCAGCAATACGTATATTGATGCCTCTGGCAAAACGTCAAATCTTCCAATCAACGGCGATAAATAGCATGTAGTTGCACCTGACCATGGTTGCACTTGAGGCGCATATGCGCCGCCACGCGGTCGGCGGTGCTTACGGGTATCCTCATGGAGTTTCCCCTGCTCGCGAGTATGAAGAGCTGATGCTTAACGTTGTTAGTAGTGAATGCAGCCTAGGAGCGCATAACATTCTTGGCAGAAAGCCCTGCTACCAAGGCAATTCGGGCATCGCTTCGCCGTTGTCGTCGCTGAATGAGCCAGCAAGGGTCAAGCCAGCAAGGCTCGTTTAGTAGTGATGCAGCGCTGGACATTTTCTTTCGCTTGTTTGCATCCTATTTCAAGAGACTGTAATTGCTTTTGCGCTTGATTGCTATGCACCGTTTTTCACGGCGAACAATTAATTCCTTCTTCAACATAGCATACAAAACAAACCCCACATGTGATATGCATCCCATGCCCGCATAAAATTACGAGACGGACGCTGCTGGGATTTCAAAGCTAATCGAGGCCAGTCGGTCACTGACATTGCTCGGCAACATTCGGCAGCAACGGACTTCTCCAAGGACAGCTACCGTAATGGACGCCCAGTGGCTTTCCGCGCCCAGTAGTTTATCAGTCGGGGACGCTTACCATCTTCCGTTAATAATAAGCATCTCATTTACTTGTGTTGCTACCTTGCAACAAGGCATCCCCTCAGCAGAAACATCATCTCCCTGCGATTAGCAGGAGGGGACGGGCCCCTCCCCGACCTTGGTGGACGGGTGTACGGGGGTCGCCGCTGACCGCCGGGGCCGGCTGGGTAACACCTCCAATGGCATGTGAGCGTTTCCGTCGCCATGGGCGTGGCTCCACCGAGTCGGCACCAGCTACAGCCGGTATATAACTGGCCGGCGCTGGGCCACAGGCATCACAGACACCAGCGAGTTCAGCCATGAAAGTCCTGGTGAGTTCTCCGCATCGCCATGTTTGTCATATATATATATATATATATATATATATATATATATATATATATATTATCTATATATATTTTTTAGAAATTTTTCGCTTTACCAAGTGGCCGGGTTCTTACAAATATAATACTACTAGTTATTTAACATTTCGAAACAACTCTGACGCAGTGTCAAATCATTTGTTTGTCTCATCAATCCCGCTATCAGGATACGTAATAGCAATGGTAGCATGTAAACAGTAAGTAGCAATATGCCTAAGATGTTTGAAAGTGTCTTGCGAACTTTAAGTGGATGCTGCCTTGCAGCTGTTATATGAAGAGCATGGTTTCATCATTAACCTTGGTTCTCATAGCTTGGGAAATCTGTGTAAAGCCCATTCGCCAATGAGGTCTGCAGCACCACCGTTTTTCCTTTTAATTCCGACCTTGTTTTCTTGCCTTTGAATTGTTTAAAATTGCACATGGAAAGCTCACACTGTCTTTTTCAGGTGGTAGTGTCCGCTGTTCTGGCCGTTGCGGCTGCCCAGTACCTGCCTTACAGCGGGCTTGGTTACTCGGGACACCCGTACGCCGCCGGATACCCGAACAAGTTTTCTATCCCCTACACTACCTACACTTCTGCCCCCTACACCATCAACGCTGCTGCCCCCTACACAACCTACGCCGCCCCGGCCGGTGTCAGCTCTCAGCACTACTCCTTGAGCAGAAGTGGGGAATACAGCTATGGCTACAGTGACGGCCTGAGCACCAAGTCGGAGAGCAAGAACGCCTACGGCGGCACCGTCGGCTCTTACAGCTACGTGGACGCCAACGGCTTGACCCAGACAGTCAACTACGTGGCCGACTCGGCCGGCTTCCGTGTGCAGGGCACCAACGTGCCGGTGGCTCCCGTCGCCGACCTGAAGGCGTCCGTGTACAGCCTGGCCGGACCTGCCGCCGTCCAGGACACGGCTGATGTGAAGGCCGCCAAGGCGGAGTTCCGCAAGCTGTACACCGAGGCTGCCGCCGCCGCCGTCGCTGCCCCCGACTACCGCAAGAAGCGCAGCGCTCCTCTGCCCGTCAGCGACACCCCCGCGGTGGCCGCCACCAAGGCCGAGCACGCCCGCCTGTACAATGCGGCCGCTCTCGGTATCTACCCTCAGATATACGCTGCCTCCGGCGCTCCCGTCACGTTCCAGGGCACGTACGGTCCTGAGGGCGTCTCGTACTCCTACAGCTCAACTCACCCGACGTTCCCCTACGGTCGTCTGTATATCTAAGAACTATTTCTCTGTACAGATTGCTCGCTGTGCTAGAGTGGTTACTTTTCATTTCTTGCTCACTATTTTATGCGTTACTTGTGCCTCCTTGTAATTATACCTGAAAGCTGTCATGTGTGGTATGTACTTTCAAGAATGTTGAGAGCGTGCGAATCAGAATCTCGAAAGGAACAAAGGACATAAAGGTGAGTGATTATTGAGGAAAGCCAAAAGTCTCGGAACTATACTTCTTTTCAGCATTATCAGTGTAATCTCTGATGCCGACTGTGGCCGATCTGGGACACACCAGCAGGAATGGATTAAATGGCATCAGGACGGAAACATTAGGATGTTGTTGAAAGTCGATATTTAAATCTGTGGTCATGATCAAGTGCTAACACGTTTGTAGAGTGTTGAAAATATATATGAAGTTGCTCAAATCACTATATATATATAAAGACATATTTATATATAAATATGTATGTAGGTATATATATATATACATATATATATATATATACATATATGTATATACATACATACATATATATATATATGTATATATATATACATATATATACATATATATATATATATACATATATATATATATATATATATATATTTATATACCATTAACCCGCGCCAAGCCAGGGGAAGTTGACTCCCCACTAATATCTTCAATTTCAAGAGGTCGTATAAGGAAAACAAAGATAATGTTGTGAAGTTCTCTTTAAAGCACGAAGAATGTATACACAATTGCTGACTTCACCTTCCCTACCTTAGTGTAGGCCTTATTTTAGACCTTAGGTCAAGTGTAGAGCCGACAGAGATTACGAAATGTGAAAAATTGTCGCTACAATAGATACAAGTAAAACCTACCTTATCACTTCACGACTGATATTAAGTGCACGAAAATGAGCGTTAAGGCTAAGTGGAGACTACTCCCACCATTTCTGTTCCGAGAAGAACCATTTCTGTGCCGAAAAGAACAATGCTTTTCAATATTTCCTTCCGGTTTAACCTATTTTATCAGGTGCAGGTGTGGGACAAAGGTGTTCCAGAGACAAAGCATCACTATAGGCTGACCTAGAGGTTATCTGAGGTCAGCCAAAGTCACATTTGAATACCATGCAAGTGGAAAAAGAGCTAACCGGGTATAGGTGTCCAGTACAATGCTTTTCTGTGAACACAACTAGTGTATTACACATCTACAACCAGCGGCGGATCCAGAGGGGGGGGGGGACGGGCTGAGACACGAGCACTCCAATGGAGGCACGTGCCACCTCCCGACCGAAAAGGAAAGGCGCCCATCCAGGGGGCGCTCTCGGGCGGCGAAGGCGGCCTACCATTATGGCGCTGTTAAAGGGGCGTCCAGCACGGACCAGAAGGGTGAAGGGGTGTAATGATCATGAAGATCCAAAGCTTTCCCAAACCTGGGGGAAGGGACAACAGGCACCCCCAGTAGTCGAAAGGGCGCCCATAGTTCTGAAAGTATGTCCCAGAGTATAGATGGATACCCTGTACAATGAAAGGACATCGAAAGCTTCCGGGCTGAAATAGCACCTTCCGAGTACTCACTCGGGTACCCCGAAGGATGTGCTCCGAGGACGAGAAGGATGCCATTTACAATAAAATGGCGCTCCAAGAGCTGATCACTGCCCCCAATAACTGAAGGACGGTCGAAGATACGCCTCGAAGGCGAGAAAAACGCCCTAAAGAGTACATACGGGCCTCAAACCGTGGAGGGACTCTCCTATGTCTCGAAGAGCGTCGCTGACGTTCTTAATATGTCCCAGGACCAGATCTAAAACCCCTAAGCGAATAGAAAAATAACATCCCATACCCTGATCGGCTCTGAGAACTAAAGCGGCGCCCTTGAAGTTTTAAGATATGTGCCGAAGTCGAGACGAATGCCTTAAAGAATTAAGGTTGCCCAAACCGTGGAAACCTCGGGGACCCTTCGTGCACCCGAAGAACCACAAGATGCTCCTGTGGTCTAAAGATGTGCTTCGAGGTCGAGAAGGATCCGCTTTAGAGTCTGCGTGCCCAGCACCCTGGACAGCGCCTCCGGTGGCCAAAAGGGTACTCGCTATTGATGAAAACATGTCCTGAAAGTGAAAATAATGCATTTAAAAACAAAAGGGCGTCCAAAGCCCAGAATGGCCACCCGTTAAAGTTCCAACCGCGCTCCTGACTTCTGAAGATGGGTCGTGATGTCAGAAAGGACGCCTTAACACGCGCTCGGGTGGGGGGCAAATTAAAACCCCGAGGGTTTTTCCGGAACAGTTTCCGAACGGCGCAGCGTAGCCGCGCCAAATTTTGCATAGCTGTAGGCAATTGAATAGCATATCGTTTGGCATCAAAAAGTTAAATTTACCTTGTAAGGTCGCTAACGAATGGCAGGTCAAAATCAGGCCATGGTTTCAGCGAGGACAATTTCTAGGGAATCTTTCAATCTGACCCAGCAACGGAGTGTTAGACGAAGCCATACATCTCTAAGATATTTTCTTAGGCAACACAACAGTTGAATAAGCAGATTACATTGACCAAAGGTCAGGTATGAAGGTCACACCAAGGTAAAAGACAACCTGTTTTGCTATTCTTGGGCTTGCTGTATGGGATGGTTTCTGGTGCTCATTTCGAGTTAATTGACAACAGGAACCACATTATGCATCTTCCATGGACTTGTCAGAGGTCAGAACAGGTCATTGACCTAGAAAGACCCAGGTCAACATTTTGTTTAGGAACATACTGCCTAGCGTAATCTTTGTCGCTTAGCCAAATACAAAACTCAAAGCAATCTTGTATGATTTAGGTCACCTTGACGTCCAAAAGATCAATCAAAGTCACTCGATCTTGAATGAGAATGTGACTTTTTGCTTAAAAACGGATATCTAGATTCTAGGGGCATTTTGGAGACCAACCTGGAACCTGAACTTCTTTGACCTTTTTTTGACCCGAAGGTCATAACATAGGAACCTAAACCTTTGACCTAAGTGAGATCTCTCACCTTTCAACACACCCTGCAAATTTGGCGTGTTTAGCTTTCTTAGTTCTCGAGATCTCAGGGGAGGTCAAATTGACCCCCACATGGGCGAAGGGTATCTAGCCGGCCACCCGGGCGTGTGTTAAAGAACAAAAAAACGTCTAAACAAGAGGACACAAAATCTTGAGTGGCGGCTCTGAGCGCTCAAAGGGTGTTCCTGGGTTCCGAAAATACTCCCAAGGTTGAATTCAATTTCCAGGCAAAATTCGAATAGCTTCCACTAACATCTAAACAAGGGCTCGTTCGGCTAGTAGCCCTCCCCCCTAACGTAACATGGTGCCCAAATTCTGGAGAGGCGCCTCCGGGATTGAAATGGCGTCCCTGACACTTAAAACCGTCACGAAGGCGTTAAAGAGGTTCTAAAGAATAAAAGGACACTCCAAGTGCCCAAAGGGAGCCTTGGGTGACCTCGGTGTTTTGAATGGGCGTCCATGGTGTTTGAAGAAAACGCGCGCGCCACTTTCACGGCATTCAAGTTAAAAATCATGCAAACACAAGACACACAAATTGTGAGACCGAACATTACAGCTTAACAGGCGCCTGTACGGCATAGGCCAACCTGTAACGCCTATGATGAGAAAGACAATCGATTACGTGTGTGGGGGGGGGGGGGGGGAGGGAATGATGAGGTGAGGTGAATGAATGACGGTGATGTGCTGCCTGCACATCAGCCCCGTCGCGAACTACGTTCATGCAACGATTCGCTCTCTTGTGTCACGCTCAGTCCCGCATTCCGATAGCTCAGTGTTAGAGGCTCCGTCCCACCACCGCAGTGTCGCATGGCTTGAGTCTAAAGATGACAATAATAATGACAATAAAGATGACAATAACTGTTGACACCCCTCAAGGATGATGGTATCCCCCTGTCACGGAAAGGCACCATCAGTTAACGAACAACATTTTATATCATTCAGCTGAATTGAACCGGAACAATAACAGTCCCTCTCAAAGCCGTCTCACAAAAGACGATCGGGACGGAGAGGGAGCAGGAGCTGGATTCGCCGCGCCGCAACGCAAGGCGAATGCCGTCCTGGTGGCTGTGCTAGCTCTTTTCACATGACAAGCCTTAGAATCACTCGCACCACTACCAACAGCCTAAAAACCAGTCCATCCAAAGCATCTACTATCGTAAGTATCTCAATTCAGTCCACAAAATTACAGGAAGGTATTTGAAAATTGAGTGCCAACAAAACGTAGATGGCGTGGACGGCGATATGCTTAGATTGCATATATATTACATAGCTCGCAAAACTGGAGATCTCATCATAAAAAACACAATCAAAACAAAGATGTTGAAGCGCACCAACGCAGGATACAGCCTTCCTGGCAACGACGAAGATGCAGGTTCCGTTGCGTATCCTACATTGGTGTAATTACACCTTTCTCCCAACACCTCACAACGCACCTCACGTAGGTGGCACAAAGAGATCACGCGTAAGGCGTCCACGGTACTCGTCTCACGCGCCAAATGCTCGCACAAATGACTGAAATTCTAGTGTCTGCATCCAACACAAGAAACCTCAACGTTCTGGAAGCATTGCTCATTTATAACCACAAATCGGTAACACACAAACGTATGAATCAAACTTTTTAATATTTGGTTTTGAGAGACATCACTAATAAATTACGCAAGCAATGCACCTGCCGCAGACAAAACTGAGTAAGTGTCTTAATGGTGTGAGGTCTTTGGTAGGCAGCTTTGTGATTTATCACATTGTTTGTGCAGGCCACAGTGTATGATGTTAATGATGGCTTCTGTGCGACAATAGTATTAGGTTTCTTTTCCGCTTTGTTTTTTGCCAAGTGAAAACGGCAGTCAGTATTATTCAATCAGAATCCAATTGTTTTTTTCTCGTGTTTCATATACTCTCATTTCATATTATTCAGTTGCCGACATGAAGCGAAGAGCCATCAGCTGCTTTTGAAAATGGATATACGTTGCTTCTGGCCCGTTGAGCCACAAATATGTGAGTATTTGGCACCTTTCTTTGTTAAACTAATTCTTAATCTAAACCCGATATCAAATGTAATGTTTGAAAACCCGCAAGAACTAAACATGACGACATCCAAGGCGAAGAGCGCTGTCCATTATAGTGGCCTGTGCATGAGAAGAACTACCAGGTGGAAATTATGAATATATATATATATATATATATATATATATATATGTATATATACATATATATACATACATATATATATATATACACATACTTTTTTATATTTCCATATATATTATTATATTATATATAGCCACATATATTATATTATAAGCACATATATATAAATAAATAAATAAATAAATATATATGTATATATATATATATATACATATATATATATATATATATATATATATATATATATATATCTATATCTATATATATATATATGTATATATTTATATATGTATATGTATTTATATATGTGTATATATGTGTGTGTGTGTGTGTGTGTGTGTGTGTGTGTGTGTGTGTGTGTGTGTGTGTGTGTGTGTGTGTGTGTGTGTGTGTGTGTGTGTGTGTGTGTGTGTGTGTGTGTGTGTGTGTGTGTGTGTGTGTGTGTGTGTGTGTGTGTGTGTGTGTGTGTGTGTGTGTGTGTGTGTGTGTGTGTGTGTGTGTGTGTGTGTGTGTGTGTGTGTGTGTGTGTGTGTGTGTGTGTGTGTGTGTGTGTGTGTGTGTGTGTGTGTGTGTGTGTGTGTGTGTGTGTGTGTGTGTGTGTGTGTGTGTGTGTGTGTGTGTGCTTCCGCGTACGCGTAGGCATACGCGTGTGCGAATACGTGTACGTATGTGTGTGCGTGTGCGTGCGTCTGCGTGTGTGTGTGTGTGTGTGTGTGTGTGCTTCCGCGTACGCGTAGGCATACGCGTGTGCGAATATGTGTGCGTATGTGTGAGCGTGTGCGTGCGTGTGCGTGTGTGTGTGTGTGTGTGTGCGCATAAGGGGAGACACATGAATTCCAAAATACTCCCGATGCACGCAATTACTGCTATTATATATAAATTCACTTTGTGCTCTTGTGACCATTAGCCAAATTATATGGTTGCATTTTAGCAATAAAATCAAGATTTCATCGACATCATTGTTACACCAACGCCTGACAGTACCTTGCAGGCCGAGTAATGTCGGCACAGAACTTTTATCTCCTAATAAACTTTATCGATGTGATATATGCTTGACAGCACTGGCTTGCAAACGACCAGAATGGTCCCCAAGGAAATGTGAAGGGACCGTGATCAACGAAACAACCTTTGACTCATTGGTATGGTTGAGGTAGAAAAAGGGTCAGTTAGGCTCTTTATGGGCGCTACGGTAGTACTGGGGACCCTGCATGTTGATTTTCCGGCACACTCTCAATCGCTGACTGTGACCTTCCACATCGGCATGGTTCGTCCCATTTGCTCGGAGGGCACTACGCTGTGGTCGGGGGTCCTATTTGTTACCCTGCTGGTGCACTCTCGGTCACTCAGGTGTCCTAAAGGATTTTTCCTATTCGCTCAAGAGTCCCACACTGTTGCCACCTGTTGCCCTGTACGCTAAGCTGCCGTGGCATCCGCATCTTGTGGTCCATTCGCAGCGGTTCTGGGTTCTTCCCATGTGCCCAGAAGTACAATTATGTGAACCGGCTGTGCCACCACCGATGGTTAAGGTGTCCTCCATGATACTTTTGGGCTTTCCAAAGCTTGAAGCGCCCTACGCTGTTTCCAGGGCCCTACCTGCCAACTCGGACCATACCAGTCCACTGGGTGGTCAAGCAAGGCAGTCGCTACCCTTCTGCGCTGAAAAGGCTCATATTCGTACATACTTTTATACTAGTGTATGACATTATGTCTATTTTATATCCAGACCAAGCTTCTAGACTGAATGGATTTGGGGAAGCAGTGCTTACTGTGATACCTTGATGTTACCATTCGATCGTGAACTTACTGGTCAACGGCGAGATTTTTCGGCAAGACCTTGACGTGCCGCAACGCTCAATACGGTCTGTTCTGCTCCCTGAAGTCACATGATCTTTGGTGCAGCCGCGGCACTGATCGCAAGTCATCCTAGTCAGGAGTAACATTCTGTGAAGTGGACGACTTCTGGGGGGCTTTATGGTCCGCACTACCCTAAAACAACACGTCCCCCAGCATTACGTATATTGATGCCTCTGGCAAAACGTCAAATCTTCCAATCAACGGCGATAAATAGCATGTAGTTGCACCTGACCATGGTTGCACTTGCGGCGCATATGCGCCGTCACGCGCGGTGCTTACGGTGCTTACGGGCATCCTCATGGCGGTGCTTACGGGTATCCTCATGGAGTTTTCCTTGCTCGCGATTATGAAGAGCTGACACTTAACGTTATTAGTAGTGAATGCAGCCTAAGGGCGCATAACATTCCTGGCAGAAACTCCTGCTACCGAGGCAATTCGGGCATCGCTTCGTCGTTGTCATCGCTGAATGAGCCAGCAAGGGTCAAGCCAGCAAGGCTCGTTTAGTAGTGATGCGGCGCTGGACATTTTTTTCGCTTGTTTGCATCCTATTTCAAGAGATTGCGATGGCTTTTGCACTTGATTGTCATGCGCCGTTTTTCATGGCGAACAATTAATTCCTTCCTCAACATAGTATACAAAACAAAGCACACATGTGATATGCATTCCATGCCCCCATGAAATTACGGGACGGACGCTGTTGGGATTGCAACGCTAATCGAGGCCAGTCGGCCACTGACATTGCTCGGCAACATTCGGCAGCAACTGACTTCTCCAAGGACAGCTACCGTAATGGACGCCCAGTGGCTTTCCGCGCCCAGTAGTTTATCAGTCGGGGACTCTTACCATCTTCCGTTAATAATAGGCGTCTCATTTACTTGTGTTGTTACCTTGCAACAAGACTTCCCTTCAGCGGGAACATCATCTCTCTGCGATTAGCATGAGGGGACGGGCCACTCCCCGACCTTGGTGGACGGGTGTACGGGGGTCGCCAGTGACCACCGGGGCCGGCTGGGTAACACCTCCAGTGGCATGTGAGCGTTTCCATCGCCATGGGCGTGGCTCCACCCAGCCAGCACCGGCTACAGCAGGTATATAACTGGCCGGCGCTGGGCCACAGGCATCACAGACACCAGCGAGTTCAGCCATGAAAGTCCTGGTGGGTTCCCTGCGTCGCCACGTTTATCATAGATATATATTGATATGAGATGTTTTGCTCTACCAGGTGCTTGGGTTCTTATAAGTATAATACTACTAGTTATTTAACATTTCGAAAGAAATCTGACTCAGTGTCAAATCATTTCCTTGTCTCATCAATTTCGCCATCGGGATACGTAACATCAATCGTAGTATGTAACCAGTGAGTAACAGTATGCCTAAGATGTTTGAATGTGTCTTGCGGACTTTAAATGGATGCTGCCTTGCAGTTTTATTTAAAGCGCATTGTTTCATCATTACCTTCGGTACTCATAGCTTGAAAAAAATTGTGTGAAGCCCACTTGCCAATGACGTCTGCAGCGCCACTGTTTTTTCCTTTTCTTCCAACCTCGTTTTCTTGCCTTTTAATTGTTTAAAATTGCACATGAAAAACTCACACTGTCTTTTTCAGGTGGTAGTGTCCGCTGTTCTGGCCGTTGCGGCTGCCCAGTACCTGCCTTACAGCGGGCTTGGTTACTCGGGATACCCGTACGCCGCCGGATACCAGAAGAAGTTTTCTACCCCCTACACTACCTACACTTCTGCCCCCTACACCATCAACGCTGCTGCCCCCTACACAACCTACGCCGCCCCGGCCGGTGTCAGCTCTCAGCACTACTCCTTGAGCAGAACTGGAGAATACAGCTATGGCTACAGTGACAGCCTGAGCACCAAGTCGGAGAGCAAGAACGCCTACGGCGGCACCGTCGGCTCTTACAGCTACGTGGACGCCAACGGCTTGACCCAGACAGTCAACTACGTGGCGGACGCGGCCGGCTTCCGTGTGCAGGGCACCAACGTGCCGGTGGCTCCCGCCGCCGACCTGAAGGCGTCCGTGTACAGCCTGGCCGGACCTGCCCCCGTCCAGGACACGGCTGATGTGAAGGCCGCCAAGGCGGAGTTCCGCAAGCTGTACGCCAAGGCTGCCGCCGCCGCCGCCGCTGCCCCTGACTACCGCAAGAAGCGTAGCGCTCCTCTGCCCGTCAGCGACACCCCCGAGGTGGCCGCCGCCAAGGCGGAGCACGCCCGCCTGTACAATGCGGCCGCTCTCGGTATCTACCCTCAGATATACGCTGCCTCCGGCGCTCCCGTCACGTTCCAGGGCACGTACGGCCCTGAGGGCGTCTCGTACTCCTACAGCTCAACTCACCCGACGCTCCCCTACGGTCGTCTGTATATCTAAGAACCGTTTCTCTGTACAGATTGCTCGCTGCTTATCTGTTCTAAAGTGCCTGCTTTTTTGTTTCGTGCTCACTGTTATGCGCTCTATATGTGTGTATTTGCCATTACACCTGAAAGCTGCCATGTGAGGGATATTCTCTCAACGTGATTGAGAGTTGATGTGCAAAACATCGCTTACGTGCCCCGTCACGCTGTTGGCGGTACTTCGATTGCCCTCATGGGGTTTTGTCTAATCGCAAGCGTGAAAAATTGATCCCTCGGAAAGACAGCATAGGTGAAGGCTGCTTTGGGCATACAACGTTCCTGGCAGCAACTCTCACCGACCAGGAAGATCTGGCATCGTTTTGTTGTCGCCGCCGTTTATTTGCATGGGTCGCTCGTTGAGCAGTGATGTAGTGCTGGCCGTTTTGTGGTGCTGCTTCGCGCTCTTCTTCACAGATTTGAGATTGCCTTTGTTCTTCATTTACGTTAAAATCAGGTGTTTCTTCTTTCGGTTCATGTAAAACGTTTTTATACACGTTACATTGAAATCAACAACGCATTTCGTCGTGGAAGCGGTAGATGTTTCAGCGCAGCTTTCAGAAATGTATTGCAGTGCACACTCCCGACGAGAGCCTTATTTTACCTCAGTTATATCACCTGATGCCATCAAAAAACTGCTGAGCATTTTCCAAGTAATTTGATGTATAAATGTTGCAGACAGACTCTGCGAGTAAAGCTGTACCATGACCGTAGCAACAGCTTCAAAACATCGAATATTCTCGATCAGTTGCGTGACTGATGAAAAAGTTTGACACGTGACGTCGGTGACACCTCCTGGTATATTAAGGCTACATTTCCAGCAAAGGAATTCTCAGTTCGTGCTTGCTCGGATTCTGTTAGCACGAGGCAGTCAACATCGTTCGCCGGGATGATATGTTTCACACTCGCGGAGTTGGCTGTCTCGGACATGGAACGGATCATTTCGTATCAAGTTGCAAGCCCAAAGTTTACATCCTTCCACAAACGCCATGAGTGATACTTGATAGCCTACTTGATACTTGGTAGCGATACTTGGTACTTGATACTTGATAGTGATTCTTGATAGCGCAGCCACCCAGCGCCTGACCTGAGCCCTTCAACGGCGAGTTCTTCCCGGCCATGTGGAGCATATGCATAAGCAAAACACCCTCTTTAAAGAAGGGCATGTCATACCCTATATATCATAGGGTACGTTTAAAAATTAGAGCGAAAAAAAAATACAGATGCCATGTCATGTCTAGTTCAATGCTGCTGAGCTAGGTAGTCACACCTTCAGACATCCACATTGGTACAATATTTGTGTGCGTGTGTTAAATGAAAGTCTCCAAGTGAACATAACGCCAACGGTTTTCCCAACAGCCATTTGGCGACCTAACATCGCTTCCTAATGCTGAAAAATAGTGACCCGTGCCGCGGCAGGTCAACAGTGATGCTCCCATCAACAGAGGATGGTCCTCTGAGCAAGCGAGAGGAACCCAAGACCAATGTGGGGGGCCATGAGCGATCGGGATTATCGGGAGTGCCTTGACAACTTAGCATACAGCACCACCGGCCGCTGCGCAGGTCCTCCGAGTAAACGGGAACAGCCTATGACCAATGTGGAAAGCTGTTGAGAGATCGGGAGTGCCTTGAAAGATGGACGCACGGGACACTGAAAACAGCGCAGCATCCTCTGAGTGAATGTGGAGCATCCATGATCAATGTGGCGGGCCTCTAAGTGGTCAAAAGTACCTGGGCACTCTTACAAAAAGGCCCCGACGACCTTGCGGACCGTAGCGTCCTCCGCAAATGGGACCAAATTGAAAATCACTAGGACATAGTAGAGGACTCCTGAGAATCGAGTGCCTAGATTAGGTTGCCTAGGTTGAATTATATGCTCCAGCGACAGAATAGACCCCCTGAGCAAGTGGATGCAACCCGACACCAATGCAAACGGCCCCTGAGCAGCCGACAGCACCACACAAGGTTAACATATGGTGGCCCCGTTAGCAGCGTAAAGACCCTTTCGGGCGAATGGGAAGAATCAGTGCAGGGCCCCTGATAAAAAAGAGCGCCCCGTCAGGTTAGCAACTCGGGCCCGGACAACAGCATAGGGTTCTTCAAGCAAATACAAAAAAGCGCAGCGTGCAAGGTCCCTCAGCGATCCAAGAGCTTCCGCAAGTGGACAGATATGGGCCTTGGCAACAGCTTAGGGCTCACAGATGGCGTAATGAACCCTAGAACCTCTCGAACCACCATCTCTTAATCGGTCCATTCATGGGCCCTTAATTTGTTGCCTGTGGCTCTTCCCGTTCACCTGGAGGCCCAAAAATGTCCATTATGTGCAGTTTGTGTTAATATGCTGCGTCTGTTCAGCCGGCACCTTCGAAAACCAAGATCATTGCCCCCTATCCAGCCTCTAGATTCGCCACTGTCGGAACATAGTTCACAGGTAATTGCTACATTTAAGAGCCGCTTTAAGTTTCAACAATTTGTTTACAATTAATCAAGCCCGCCTTTATATATAGATATCGTCCGCAGCTTGGAATCTGTCGAGGCCGCTATGGAAAGTATAGTGTGTAAATGAGTCATCCACACTTGCGATATTTGATATCCTAGAAATTGACTTCGCAGAATTCATGGCCTGACTTTCACATGCCACAGGGTAGCGACGTTACAAGGTGCATCTGAATTTTTAATATCACACGATCTGGTATTCAATTGTCTACAACTATGCAAAATGTGGCGCAGCTACGCTGCGCCGTTCGGAAACCATTCCGGAATACCTTCGGAGAGGGTGGTGGGTTTAATGAAGCCCACGCCCGAGCGCGTGGTAATGAAAACAAACCGTAAATATATTACACCGTAAGACGTGACAAATCATCCGGTCATCTCCGTACGGGAGAACCCTTGAGATGCTGAGATGGTAATTGCCCAACAACGACCACCCCCAAAGGAACAGAAGCTGTGTCGAACATGCTCGACACCTGTGCTGCGTTCCAGCCTGCAGCCCACCTTGCAGCTCTCGGTTGTGTGTTTTCGTGGCAGCATCTAAGTTGCGCCATATCAACTAACACTCCTTTCTCCCGACGTTGTACACGTCTAACAACATGCAACTTATTGCAACCAACCTAACATACGCGACATCGAACCGATGTTGATAACCGAAACCTGCTTTGACCATCGACGCCCAATACGATACAAATGGTGCCCTGCGACAACAGTTTCTGCCGGGACAAAGCGTGATAGCGTGGTGGAGCCGGGCTGTGTTTTCTCGTTAAGTTGGGGTGACTCCAACCAGCCCAACTTTGAGGGGAGGTGAGTCAAATTGAGGGATAAATCTGTTTTGTTGTTGTTTATTTTAGAGAAGCTTTAGCTACTTCTCCACCTCAGCCCCCAGACTATTTTCCGGTTCTACATCCCCTGCTGTGGAGGCTTAATGATTGTGACACGCGACGGCTTCACGGCCACATCGCTTTAGCATCCAGCCCACAGCGCAGCTCCAGAGGGGAAAGCGTCTCCGCCAAGAGACGGGTGGATCAACATCGCTGGAGGGCGATCGGCAGCTTACCCAGCCACGTGGCGGTGCCACTTGTTGTCACGGACTTCAGTCATATTGAGGCAGGCTACAAGCTGAAGCAGGTAATTGCGCTGTAATTGCACAAAAATAGGACGCCCCATAAAATGAAGCTGGATCTAACCACCAGAACGTATATTATTGAGGTAGAAGCCACGCACACCAATAGCATGTTTGAAGTGGATCTCTGCATCCGTTCTGAACACTTCGGTGCTGTAGTTGGTTAACGAATGGAACAATCTTGGTGACAGGTCTTTGATGCAGGCCTGACTTCGGCAAATTTTTCTGTACTGGCTCCCTCGCAGGCCATGACATCAACTGGCGAGTGGTCACCCTGTCCCGGAATCGCCGCTTCGCCAACCAGCGCCCGGAGCAATAGAGCCGCAGACACGGTCTTACTTTAAATAGGTTCGATACAAATTTCAAAAATGATTTCGGTCCAATTGCTCACCTTAAGTACACGATGTCGCGATGAGTCGTCAGAGCAGCCGCCTGAGCCCAGAGTTCGAGAAATCAGTAAAGGGCTCTGTATGTCTGTGTGCCACGATGGACAACCTGGAGCAGGCGCTTGGTCAAGAATGTCCCGCAAGGATGGCGAAAATGGAGCCACTGTCATGCACAGGGTACAGTGTATTCGATCTCCGCCGACCATGCATGACTTCCCCTGCCTTGCTGAGTGAGAACCAGCAAGGCGCGACGTGCATCGACTGCGCCAGGTGTTGAGCCATTTTTCGTTTACCCAGACTGTGTCGGCACCCACGCTCCACTTACTCAGTGGATATAAATCGTCGCTGGTCGTGGTTATCCACCGTATGCATTCTCAATAGCAGAAAGTCCAGATTAGTGATTACCTCGATGCCGTTGTCAACGGTGTAGGTGACAACTTGTACTGGTTCGTGCGTGCGGTACCCATCCAAGAGCAGCAGTTTAATGCTCTTCTTGTCAGCATGGCTGCACGCTTGAAGTGTTTCAGCCATGTTACGAAGAGACCTGACTCAATTCAGCCTGACTTTCATCAGAGCCCGAGTGAACCAGCGAGAGCATCCTTCATCCTCAGCCGTGGCTGGATGAGCGCAGGTGAGAAATAGTTTCCACCGGCATTCGCCGCCGCCACGTGTAGACTGTTTTCCCACGTCCAGCGCTGATGGTAACACTTCACGGCCTCCCAAAGTGGTCAACACTTTGTCCCACTTCTGGTCATTGATGTTCCTATCTCATCCATATTCCAAAGGGAT